AGGTCATACTAGGACCTGTCACTTATTTGTTTAAGACATCACTGACCTACAGGGTATTGTCAGAGGACTGGCGGAAGGCAACCGTGATAGCAATATTATGGTGATCCAGACTTCCGTGACCGCAATCCATACACGACTAGGTACAGTTNGTCATCCAATCACCGTTCAGGAAGCTCGACCAGTGGTACACCGGGCGAACATGACATCCGAGTTAGCACATATGATACGTCAGTGCAAACGGTTACATGATTACAGGATGCTCGTTCAACCAATGATATGGACTATTACATTCTGTAAAACATGATCTAATTCCATCAATAAACACAAGCATTTGCCGCTATCAAGTCCTTGTGTATTTCATTGGTGTCCGCAGTTCTGGTTGGAGCCAATTCAGTTCTGAGCAGTACAGTACGGATTCTCGTATCCCTAAATTCAATACTATTCCGACTACTACAATTTGGCGTCGCGCAATGGAGGTTCCTAGCAATGAACCAATGAACCTGTAGGGGAGCCCATCGGAAATCGAACAGTGAGTAGAACGTTTCGAATTATGCTGCGCATCCGGAAATCAGTTGGTCCTATTGTTGACGTGGGGCGGCCGACAGCTGTATTCCATGGTGAAGAATCTAGCGTTCCTGAATGTTCCTGCTGAATTGCCGTTCGAGAAGTTGAAATACCTATTACTGAACCACGTTCTCTCAGTGGATTTTCAGGGTACTGAACGGACTAAATTCAACTCAATGATTAGAGTTGCCAACATGCCGTGCCGTGAGTGCATTCTTCAGTTGAACAAACAGGCGTCAAAATGCAACTATGGTGACCGATTTGAAGAAAAACTCTGTTACCGTCTCACTGCTGGAGTCGACAACATCTCATTACAACGTAAGATGTTGAAAAAGAAAGATATCACGTTTGCTGAGGCTCGAAAAATCTGTGAGCAAAGTGACGATTTGTGTGCTCCCACAAATGCGGATACTACTGTGTTATTCCAACGGCGATCAACGAAACCCTTACGTGACGCACCCAATGTTTATAATTCACCCCAGGTTCCTCAAGTACCCAGTTCAAGCCGAACACACTCGAAGGCTGCGACCAACCGCTGCTTTTCATGTGGTTATTACCATCTTCGTTCTACTTATCGATTCCGTGATGCCACTTGCCGTGCATGCGGTAAGATGGGCCATATCCGCAACGTATGCTGAATGCCCAAGTGCAACTTCATCGACTCCCATATTCCAACGGCAGATGAGAATTCAAGCCCAATCTACACGCTGCAGACCACTGAACCCAACGGCCAATTCGTGTTCGCCCCACTGATGTTCGAGTCAGGTGTGAAGCATCGATTTATCATGGACACAGGAAGCAGCAAATCTATCCTACCGAAATCATCACTCACTGCGATTTGTCCTAATGCTTTTCTAGCCCCGACTTTTGTGCGCATTCACGGGGTTACTGGCCATCAGTTGCAATTACTTGGCGAAACGATGTTGTGCGTTCAATCTGAATCCGGTGTGTCAATCCCGATCCGATTCCTGGTATCAGCCCACAGTCCGTCTATTCTGGGCCTTCGAGCAATGCGGCTACTACAAGGATCCATCACACTACACATCAACAACGATATGACAATCACCTCAAATCTTCAACATTTGATTGTACAGTGTTCCGGTAACATTGGTGGTATGAAAGTACCGTCGGTAAAGTTGGAAGTGGACGGTGAACTTATTTTCCTAAAACGACTCATCCTCCCATACGGTCAACGGGAAGGTGTCCCAAAAGCATTACAGAAAATGGAGCAGAATGGTGCGATAAGCAAAGTTGAATCCAGTGCCTGAGCGACCCCGATCGTCGTGGCGATGAAACGTGATGGTAGGACACCACGGATCTGTGGAGACTATTGGCTGACGTTGAATCCCAGATTGCGGAGCTGCGTCGATTTCTTCTACCGTGAGGTTTCCTACGCTCAGGGTACTTTCGTTTCTCGACGAATACATAATTCCAATTTCAAGAGATAAAACGAATAATTCATGCAGCTAACTTTAAAAGTTTTGACCATTGAGAATAACGATGCAGAATCTGTTCTAGTTTTATCGACAAAACAACTGTGTTTACGCGTGCTACAATTTTCTCCATCTCTACGTCATCCGGTGGGTACGATTATGGAGATAATGCCTGTGGGACATAGCTCTGTAAGAACATCGGCCCCTCTAACCATGTCTCTGGTTCTCATCTTGTTGATATACCTCTCGAAGACAGTTCCAGTCGCGGTTTGATAGGTGCCACTCGAGACTTACTGAACAGCAAAACGCTGTAAGCCGGTTTTCTTGCTGGAGCGCACAAAACGTAGGCGAAGGCCCCATAACCTGTCTCGGATGCATCACAGAAAACATGCAACTCTGTTCTCCCTCCTTCTCCCCAATCTTCGTTTCTAATACATCTTGGGCTCTTAATCACTTCTAGACACCTAAAAATGCGTACCCAGCTTTCCCAAATACTGGTTGGTTGATTGGTCCCAACCCATTTTGGATTTACACAAGGTTTGCAGCAACTGCTTTCCTGGGCGGCATAGATGAGCTACCAGACCTAGCGGGTCAAACCACGAACTGACGCTGGATAATATACCTCTTCTTGTCACCGGTTTATCTAGTGGCTGGAACTGGAACGTTAAAACATCTCGTGTTGTGTTCCACTGCACGCCCAAAGCTCTCTGACAACTGGAATCAAATTGAGGCAGTTGAACCAGGTTGGTACTTGTGCTATCTTCCGAGAGGGATTCTGCAAGTTCGAATAAGTTAGATGACCACCTTCTCAGTTTAAAACCACCTCTTCCCAATTGTTCGGTTATTTTCTTCGCAAAACAAAAGGCTTCAATCTATGTCGTAAACAATGCCAGACAGTCATCAAAGTATAAGTTTTCTATTATCGCTTTTAGCACCGCACGCCCATAACCACTACCGAATTCTCTTGCAGCCCTGTTCAAAGCAAAAATAGCACACGACGGGGAAGAAGTTGCAGCAAACGGGTGAGCTGTCATTTGATATTCCTCGGGATACTTGAGTGGGTCACTGCATTTCATGCTGAATTTTTGAAAATCCTTATGAACCCATAATGATTTATGGTGAAATAACTTTATCTGTGTGTTGCTCTTATATTGACATTCCTCGATCACGAACACCACACATCATTATTTATCTGTTAATTTGGATGCCCGGCACATTTGAATTTGGCGTGGTTTGAGAACGGAAGCGACTGTTTGCCTCTCTCTGGACATGTTATATGGCTCGTTTGTTTGAGTGCTTTCGGCCGCATATTTGAGATTTGCGTTATTGTACATTTTGTAATGATTTCGTTAATTCAGTACCGTAGAACATTGCGGATCAATTGTGTTTTTAATTCGGGATTCGTATCGGTTCGGCTACGCGTCACTCAAGTGCGAATTGGTTGACGTACATTCACCCTGTGGCCACCACAGAAATCTTAATGCGCCTCTATAATGTTTTGGCACCTTCACTTGCATGAACATCTCTCTTATGTCACCTGTAACAGCTATACGTTCCTCACGGAATCGCACAAGTATACACACTTAATTCGCGGTGGTGTCTGAACCTTGATAGAGCATATCATTCAACGATTGCCCTTCGTGTTTTGCCGCACAATCCAAAACTATACGCAGCTTCTCCGGCTTTTCTGGGTTTAAGACCGCATGCTGAGGCAGGTACCAACGCGGATGAAAGTTGCATTGTAACTGTGCCCCTGGGACTGGCACGGCATATTCCTTCTCTATAGGTATATTTATCGTTTGTGCGTAACGGAACCGTAGCACCTTGTCAATAATTAAGCGCCGCTTCAGGCTGTTCAACCTCCAGAGCGCTGACGCATAGTTTCCCATACCGGTATTGACCCCCTTCTTCCATGGCAGAGAGACCACGAAGTTTCATGTGTAGATTCAGAAATTAAGGATATTGATATATTCAGATTGCGGGTTTCTGAGTTAGAGCATGAGTTGAGATTAGTTAAACAGCAGATAGAACAGGCCAAACGTGAAAAAAACGATTTTAACGGCACAACATTACCCCGAGCTGAGACTGCACATCGTGGCTTCCCTCCGAATAAAGAATTCGTCCAGAAGCAAAGAACTTTTGCCTATGTAAATGCCGATTTGCCAACAGTTAAACTGACACCTTTCGATGGTGATCCCGAACAATATTGCCAATTCGTTCGCCAATACGAAAATGTCGTTGAATGCGCGACGATGCAGGGCAAAGGTTTCTGTTTTTGCTACACTACTGTCGGGGGAAGGCCAAAGAAGCTATACAAGGGTGCGCAATGCTGGACCCGGAAACGGGCTACCCGAGAGCCAGAAATATACTGAAGGAGGTGTTCGGCCAACCATTCCGAGTGGCACGAAACATGATTGACGGGGTGCTAGCAGAGGCGAGGCGCACAAGCGGCGATACCAGTTTTCTAGCAAACTCGGTCATCAAGATGCAGAACTGCGGCATCGCCCTGAACCACCTCGAATATCGGTCGGACCTGGATGCAATTCACATGCTGGAATCGATTGTCAGATGTTTGCCGGCCGAAATGCAGACAGCCTGGGCGA